GCTGACCTCAGAAATGAATATGTGGTTATGCTGCTACGTGAGAGCCACATAGAAGTTCTCACCTATCTTCTGAAAAAAGACAGGTATATGTTCATTACACTTATGACTTTTTACAGAAAATGACATAAAGTATTATTTTGATCAAATGGGTTTCCAACATTTTATTTAAAAAAAAAAACGTGAGCCTTCTTCCCTCCCAACCCAAAACCAGGCCAGAAAGCCTCATAGTAGTGGGGGCAAATAGACCAATTCCACCTTAAAATGTAACCTGGGAGTTTATTGAAAAAGGCTAATTTGACATGGCACCTGGGGCCAGGACTCAATGATCCTGGGAGGCCCCTTGCAGTCTATATTCCTGTACAGCAATTAGAAATGTAGGTCTGTCTGCCCATGGTGACTCCCAGCAACTTCAATGGGGCTGTGCATGGACACAAAGGTCCACCCACAGGGAATTCATTGTGGGAGTGGGGCCTTAAACATTTCTGGGGTTCTTCCAATGGCAATTGGTGTTTAAAAGTACAAAAGCCCCTCAATGTCAGGCAGTTATGTTAATTTAGAGTGGGCATTCTGGTGGGTCTGAAATGTGCTCCTTAGAGTCCTGTCACTTGTGGAGGGCTGTTGACTTTCTTCCCTTGCCTAGCCACAAAATTATTCCATTTACAAAAGAAAAAATTGTAAGAAGGAAACAATAAGCAACCCTCATGGTACCTCTGCATGGCAGAAGATAGTCTGGGAGACATAAGATGGCACAGTTGCAAAACCTTGGAATACTGACTCTGCATTTAAGGATGGGTAAAATTACTCCTTTTACATGAAAATCAATTCAGTTTAGAAATGTCAAGCTGTATTTTCCTTTTGTGGCATTTTGTGCTTAAGTACAATTCTAAATGGTGCATAGAAGCTGCACTTGCAGGTTCAAGTGTCAGCATTTTAGTTACCTTTAATTATTGTCTACCCTATATAACTATTCTCAACAGATTAACAAGTTTATGTACCCATCTGTTGCTTTCAGGACAGGTTTTCCTTAACGGGGGCTTTTGATTTTTACTGTAGTGGTTCTCTGAAAGTTCCAGACAAATGCTTAAACCAAGTAATCCCATGTTCCCTAACAAATATAAACTGAGTATGCAAGCAGATTAGAAGGGATCTAAGCAATTGACTGTTACACAAGTAGCTATAAAATTCAAAGACTTTAACACTGAAATGATAACAATTCCAATTATTATTTTTTATATATATATATATGTGTGTGTATATATGTATTTTCAATCTTGCTTTCCAATCAGGAAAAAATCCTGCCACCACCCAACAAAAAAAGCCCCTTCTTCTCTTCCTCTTCAAGGTTTCTCAGTCTTGCTGCCACACTTATTTCAACTGTGAGCACTTTAGACAGCTTTATATCTAAAATACTTATATAGGACTATAAAGAACATGGCTGATGGGCATTTTCAGTATTAATCCACCTATCCAAACTGTCAGATTATGTTAGGTCCAAATTTCAAAAAGTATTTTAAAAAGTGGTGAAGAAATAAAATATTTTTATGTTTTAATTCAGGTTTTATTGTTGTTGTAAAAGGGCTTTGTGAGCCCAGGGAGAATTGTGCCTGAGAACCAGCAAGTGAAAGCAATTGCTCAAGGGCCATAAAACCAGCCTGCCATCATTAGCCAAATGCAGTAAAATTCACCAAAGTTAATCAAACCACCTAAGTGATGAAAAATAAATGAGATCTTTTCAAAAGCAGCCCTCCATCTTTGAACAATATCCATTGTGACAAGCATTGTTTATTCTTTCCTTTTTCCCTGTAAACAGTATAAAAAGCGAATTCAGCATTTCAGTCGTAAGGAAGTCCTTGGTTTAGCCTCTTTGTGATGTGAGAGGGCAAGGAAGCAAACTCACACTTGGAT